TTTTTGCTTTAACGAGTTATTGACAAATTAGTCCCCAAAATGGTGATCTTCGTAAGGTACCGATTTCTCAGACTGTCGAAGACGTAGAGAGATACCGTTTGTTTTAAATAAAAGACAAGACTTGAATCTAGAAATGTATATACCGTTTTTTCGAAATTCGATTTTGTTCGAATTTCCGAGACATTTTCCTGCAAGAACTCGGAATTTAGCGCTTTTTGACGTCAGTGTTATCCAGTTATCACGGCAAAGAAGTCGAATTTCGAAAAAACGCTATATACATTTCTAGATATAGGTCTCTTTTTTTATTTAAAAAAAACAGTAGCTCGCTAGCTCCTCTGCAATTTGAGAAATCGGTTCCGAGCTCTCCAAAAAAGTGATTTTGAGAAAACGAATCAACAAGTTTGTATGAAACAATTTTTAATTTCACTATGACTGTCACGACCTCTATACGGCAATTTCATCATGTATACAGGATTTTAAGCAGAAATGACTACGTTCCTCTAATTAATTAATATAACAGAACGTATATGTGTTTTTCATTAAACAAAATCTACAAGTTTGTTGACCACTATCACATCTCCCTAACTAAAAAAATTCTGATCAAACCTTATATTTCTACCAGTGCTCCCAGAAAACCGCTATTTTCACCGCCCAAAACCATTCAAACTGCAATAAATCGCACATAATCTGAAAGAGGACACTTTGAGCTTTCAGTATATGTGCTTATCTCAAAATCGATTTTTCTGAAAAAAATCGATTTTCTGACGGGGGGGTTTCCCTTAATCACTAATATAAATATTGGTGTAGCCAGAAGATATGGGGTGGTAAGACACTGCGCCACAACCCTGGGAAAAACTCATTCAATATAGTGTCACCGATGATAATGATTACGTTTTTCTTTCTTCTGAGGATACGGCAGCGCTGGCCTAATCAACTACTGGTTACGCCTCTAAGTATAAATAAAAATTTTGATGAGTATATATTAGTTTTAATTATTTCAAAACATGTACATTTGTTTTTTAATATTTTCATTCAAAGTAAAATTCAAAAGATAAAAAAATTTAAGATTTTCTTTTATAAATGATCTTTATTCTAATTGAAATTTTTGTTTTTTTTTTCTTACTGAATCCGAATCAAGAAGTAGCCATGTAGCCATATCCACAATAATATCTTGAGATTTACATTCATCTAAATAAATAAATAAATACCTTTAATAATTAAGTCAATGAAAATAATCATACGCTCAGCATTTCTAACACTAACAACAGCACTACCATAACAAACATAATAATTAACAAGATTATTTCGACAATGTTCGATCATTTCTTCAGTTAATCCTGTTTTAGTTATATAATTTGTCGATTGATATTTTCCAGAATTTATTTTTTTCGTAGTTTCAGAATAAGAATTTATTTTTTTTATTGATGATTGTATTTTTAATCCATATTCATCAAGCAGTTTTGAACACATGGAAGTAGTTCCCTAGATACAAATCTTGTAAAAAAAAATTTAAAAACAAAAACAAAAAACTTAAACTAAAACTAACACGAAGAAATATTATCGAATAAGAGCCCATTGCAATAGCACTTTTAATATTTAAAACAGTTCCAATTGATGTCACATAATCACAAAATGATTTTTTCATATATAAAGCACACGATATAACTCTTTTTGCTTGTTCACGTTTATGTTCAATAGAATTATTTTCAAATGGCCATAAACCTAATCAAAAGTGTTGTTGTTGTTTTTTTTTCAAGTATAAATTTTATGAAATATTTATTACCAAGTACAGCATCACCAGCAAATTTATAAACATCTCCTTTTTCTCTTAATATAGCTTCAACAATTGGTGCCATATAACCATTAAGTGCATTAGCTAATTGATTAACTCCACGTTGAACATCACTACTATATTTTTGACACATTTCTGTAAAACCTGATACATCAGCAAAAAGTATAATACCATTAAATGTTTCTGCATATGGCATTTTTCGATCACGTTTACGTTGTAAAATAACATCAGGTAATTGATAAATAAATGAACAAGATTGATTCGATGGATGACATATATATTGACCATCTATTGATATTCTACTTTCATTATTATGTTTAATCATTATCGATTTTTAAATATAATAAATCGTATATATAAATAAATATTTTTGTCAAACAAACTAATTGATTATAAATATTACATATTGAATTAACGCGCTTTATTTTTTATTTAAAACTAAAATATAAAATAAACAAAATGAGTCCATTTCAATTTCGTTATTTAATTATATTGAACTCTTTTTTTTTTCTTTTTAGAAACTAATGATTGATATTTTCTTATCCTCTAAAGTTTTATCAATTTATAACCTGATTAACGTTCATGTTAGTCAGACGAATCCATAAATTCTATGACTCAGTTAAATCTTTTTTTTTCAACAATACTTGAATTTGTATCAAGAAATCTTGTACTAAATAGAAATATTCATAGAATAATAAACAAATAAATCATATTAATGCAATTGAATTTAATCTTACAAATAGAAATCTTTCACTTTTTTTTAGTTATTACAGTCATCATGAGCTTTAAAGATATCACTTTTTGACCTTAGCTTATTACAGAATTATATATTTGAATACTTAATTTTCATCTAAAGACATTCATTTAAACCTTAGTCAAGATTATGTTCATTGATTTATGCATATGTATATACGTTTATGAATTAGTTTATGTTATAGATTAAAATTGTTTTGTTTTTGATTAACACCGATTTCTTGTTGCTATTGGTTTTTTTTTGCATAAATAGTTATTAGTAAATTCAACTGCATTAATTTAATTTATTTGTTTACTATTCTATTGTTCATATTCAAGGTTTTTCTTTTGGAATTATTCAAAAGATAATTTTTTTTTTCATTCTAATCTGATCCGAAAAGCATCGCAATGTACTCTACAAGAATTCGTATACTATCTTTACTATTATTATTGAATGAGTTCAAAAGAGAATAATGCCTCATACTTATTTTAAATAAGAATAGAATAGTTAAGTTTACAAACGTAAGATGAACGTCATTAAAAATAATGCTCCGGAAGAATCGACAATACAGTATATATAGAAAAAGATAGAGTTTACTGTAGGAATCACAGAATCATTTGAGAGACCAGATATATAATACTATGAAATATCAGTATCTCAAGGTAGATTTGCAGAGATAAAAATGACACCATATGAGAGGTCTTAGTTAGAAGAAATCTAAAAATTTCAAGTATCTCTTAAGTTTGTATACTGCTTGTTAAAAACCGTAAATTGACATTTCTGATCCGAATAGAGAAAAAATTGATATAGCTTGACAGTCTTAACTATTATTGAACAATCGCAATTATTAACAGAGGGGAGAGAGGGCGGGGAATGAGAAAATTATTATTGGAATCATAAAAAAAGTAGAACATAGCGCTTTACTTTAAGTATTAAAATTTGCCACATATGAGGTTCTTTACTGGTATACATGAGGGAATTGTAACATTATTGTACCGGTTTGGAGAAAAAAAACGAGCGTAAAAAAAAAACACTTTCAACTTGAAAGATGATAAATAGTACGTTTTACTGTACTATACGAGACAAGAAAACGAGTCAATTTTTTCTTCTACCACTATTAATATGGCCTCCAGATATGACAATTATTCAAAACTCGTAAAAATGCCTGAATACAGATTTTCCACATGTATGTCAAAGAACTGCAGAAATACGAAAGGTATGCAAAATTCATTAAAAATACTTGAAAGTATGAGTGAAAAGAATTTTATTTACGCGTGCATTGATATACGATTAAGATTTAAAGTTAAATAAGTCTCAACTACATGAAACTAATAGTGTGTTTTATGTTTGATATTCATGATGTGGCGTCATCGTCACAAAAT